GTCTATCTATCACAGCTTTCAACCTTTCTGTGAGAACTTTGGAGAGTATTTTGTAAATGCTCCCTATGAGGCTAATTGGTCTGTAATCCCTTAACTCATTGGGTCCTTTTTTCTTTGGAATGAGTGCAATGAAGGTAGCGTTGAAACTCTTCTCGAAGACTTCTTGCTCATAAAAGTTTTGAAATGTGTCCATGATGTCTTTCTTCAGTACATCCCAACACTTGATGAAGAAACCCATTGTGTACCCATCTGGACCAGGAGCCTTATCGGCTGCACATAGCTTTAGGCAATTTAGAACTTCATTCTCCTCGAATCTGCCTTGCAGGGACATTTTTTCCTCTTCAGTCAACATTGGGCATTCAACATTATTATAAGAAGGTCTCCATTGATGTGTTTCTCTATACAGGTTCTTATAATATGCTATTATCTCCCCTTCAATTCTGCTTTTCTCTTGAGTAACCTCTCCTTGTATCATGAGTTGATCTATATTGTTATATCTCCTGTGAGCATTTGCCATTTTGTGGAAGAATTTGGTGTTCTTGTCTTTTTAGTTACTTGTTTTTCTTATTTTTGTGTAGCAGTTGTTGCAGTAAGGAGGTTATTTCTCCACTTTCTCATTTCAGATGTAGTAGGAAGTTACTTCCTTGTTTTCAGATGGGTGGTTAATCCACCAGTGTTGTATTTAATGTTATTTGTATTTAGTGAAATGATAAGCAGAGGATTAGTCAAGTTTTTGAGTACTTCAAACTCAAGAGATCGCAACCAGCACCATAGGTAGAAAAAAGAAAACTTCAGATTTTATCTTGCAGCGTCCCATAACTAGATCCATAACCGGAGACCATAACACCCTTCCCAACCTTTTCAATTTTTAAACAGAGGCTTTTACTGATCTTGCATCCTAAGTACTTCAGAATCCTCATGTTCATTAGTCATAACTGCCGCAAGACTTTGGTAGGATCATCTAACAACTCAGAAACCATACAAACTGTGTAAAATGTATAATTGGTAAACAAGTTTCATAAAAGATCAGAAGAAAACTGATTCCCTCAATTCAACACAGAAGCAAAGTGCTGAACAGCACTGGTTCCTCTTCCTTTTTTTTTTTTTTTTTTTTGATAAGGAGTACTGATTCCTCCTTCAAAGTTTTACCTCTGACTTTCTATATAATATCCTTTTTTTTCACTTGCACTATATAATATCCTTGACGTTTTAATGTAACTAAAAGTCCAAAAATGTCCTACCAACTTCTTTCTATAGTGAAAGTGAAACAAGCTACAACATATTATGCATGTGTTCACAGAACAAGCATAGATTACATCTTCCCCAAAAATTGGGCATCTCACAATCTGCATGAATTTTGCAGCTTATTTTAACTTATGAATGAATTTTCATAGCATAGACAACCAAGAATGTCCTTCTCCTTCAAATTGGAGATTTACCAAAAAGCAAATGTGCAACTGCAAGTGATGAAGAAAACTTTATTTTTTTTACAGGCCACTTTGTAAAGGTTATCCTTGCATCCTTACTAAAGCATATAATACGCTTTGGGGTTACTTGATACAAATTACAATTGGAACTGGAAGCAGGAGGTTTTGACTAATGTTCAGCTAGCATAAGTGCATGTAGGGGTTCATTAAGTAAACTCGGTTTGTTATAAGTCTGGGAAGTTAACACATTTGTTCCGAATAAGTTTTACATTAGAAGTTCTATTAAGCATTAATCTAATTGATCCTCTTTCCATTGAGACTCCATCCCTGTGAATTAGTGACTGTGTGAGTTCCGCTGAGCATGCTTTCGAAATCGTGCTACTTGCCTATTTATTCTTACTTATATCATTGAAAATCCATTTGCAGTGCTATAGACGGCTCTTACCCTTAGTTTCTACAGCTGAGCTTTTACTCTACCATTTATATTTTCTTCTTCAACCTTGAAATTGTATCACTATTATATGAAGTCTAAACGCGCGCGCACACACACAACTCACAACATATTCCAAGCCCTAAATGTAAATATAACTAAAAATTTAAAGATGGGTAGCAGAAAAATCAAACCTTCAGAAGAAGTGCAGATTTTTGGTTTTCCAAAGAGCACACAGTAGCCTCGACGACGTCGCCAAACTGTACTTCCAACCTATAACACTCCTCAGCATGACTAACCCAGAACTCAAGACACTTCCTTTCCGGCATGATCAACGTTTTCACATCTTCCCAAGTCTCCAAAACCTGCATAACATCATTCTTGACCAGTAACCCAGTATGCAAGATTCCGTCCTGGAATCTGCACTTAGGTTCAACGGGCCTTGCAATGATATCATCGAAAGACGAGACCAGTGAGAGTTGGTGCCCTTTAAAGAGTAGGTTCCCTTGCTCCGACAGTGATAAACAGTGTAATTTGTCTTGCAATGTTTCGAATTGAACTCTACCATGGCCTCTCGATTTCCAATTCTTATGCTCAGAGAAAATATCACAGGCAAAAACTGATCCTTTGCCGATTAAAGAGTCGAAGAAGTCGAAAAGATCTTTAGCTATAGCAGATTGGGGTATATTTGAGACCCTCACAGTTGCTGTAGCTCTCTTCTCAACACCCATGACTTGTTGGAATGATGAATTGGAAAGCTTAATGCGATTTTTACTGCTCTTTTCTTGCTAGTGCTTGGCCCAATATGTTTTTCTCCGCCCCATGTCTATATCCGTGTAGGAGCTGGAGAATTGAACCTAGGCTGCTTATCGCACGGATTAGAGGGACAATTTTATTTAACGGGTTGATTTATTAGTTATAAATTTAAAATATATTATCCTTTTAGCCAATCAATATGATATTGATTTATTTGGTAACGGATTAACAATTACCACACGATTCTCTATTAGTAAAGCATGTATTTTTTGCAAGGTTTGCTGAGCTTCTTCATGTGACAGACATTGTAAAAGTAGTTCGTTAAACGATTGCCGATCAGGGACATCGTAATAATATACAATTTTAAAATTCTGATGAGTTTAAGTGGTGTATGACATTAGCAATCAAGCTTGAGACTTGAGTATTGAGTAGCTCAATTCCAAAACGGAGAGCAAGATTGAACAAGAAGGGTCTAAGAATAATATTACTATTAGAGTTAATAGTAATATAATAATAAATACAATAGAAAATTAAATGTGTTTTGAGTTTTCAATTTAGGGCTAACAGTATATAATTATATATTATGGTAAAATATTAAATGAGACTTTAGGCTTTTAGGGTTAGTATTATATGTTCTTTATTAGTTTATATATCTAGAGTAAGAGTGTAACTGTGTAAGTATGATATTTTTTAAAGGCTAAATGATTTATTCAATAAGGAAATTGAGTAATTTATTCCCGCATTGATAATCTATTAATTATAAAATTTTAATCATTTACCATCCGTTTATCTGATAACACAATACTAATAAGCCAATAAGCTAATTTTACTTTTGGCCTATCGATTACAATTTGATTTTGAATTCTCCTACTCGAACCCTCTACCAAGGTTATTCCATATTTGTATAGACTAGAATTTGATACCTATAATTAAGTACGAAAGAGTTTGAAACAAATTGGATAAATAAAAATTGTTATGAATTCTGAAGCATGTTTTGTCAACTTCAGCTTTAAATATTTCTAAATTCAACTCAATATCGTTCAATATTTTACTTCATTCGTTCACCTTTGACTTGTCAAATTCATTAAGAAAATAATTATTTATATAGGTATTTTATCAAACTATTCCCTATTAAATGATATTTAAAAAAATAAGTATTTAATATGTCAAAATGATAAATAAAAATAAAAATTTATTTTAGGAATAAGTGACAAGTAAAAATAAAGAGAGAATATTTATTTTTAAAAAAGAACTTTTTAATTCACAACTCAAAATTCAAAATTATATACATGGGGCGTGTTTTTGAATTATAGAAGACAATTAATGTCGCTAATGAATGAAATTATACGCTTTTTAACGTTTAGGATAACAAAATTATTAATGAAAAAAACAACTTTCCATGTTCATTGGGTGATATAAGCAGGGAAAAAGGTTTGAAATATATTCAAACTTTGATCGAAATTGTTGTAACGATATCAAATTTTGAAAAGGATCTTTTACCCCATGCACTATTTAATAGGGTATTTTAAAGGTATATATGTGCATACGTAGACATCATAAATATTGCATAATTATAAATAGTAATGTGTCCACGTGGGCATATTTATACCTTTAAAATACACTACTAAATAGTGCAGGGGTAAAAGGTCCTCCATAAAGTTTTATATTGTAACAACAATTTCGGTCAAAATTAGAGTATTTTTCAAACCCTTTTTCCTATAAGTAACAAAAACATAAATAATATTTTATTTATTTTAATTTTTTTTTCTCACTTTTTTTACTTTGTTTTTTTTATTAAATACTTTTTTTTATTTCTTGACAATTATTTAATTTTAATTTTCAACGTGGCTTGTGTAAAATCACGTAAAGAAAAAATAGTTTATACTCTACTTATCTTTAATTTATAAGACTATAAAATTCAAGTCTTCTTTATTTTTTTTAAAAAGACACCCCCTAAACTGTTTAAAACTGAAATTATTACGTCCTTAAAAAGCAACAACCACATTTATATTAACGGGTGAAATTCACGCGTTTGACACGTGGATTTCTTAAAAAACTATTATTTTTACCTTTTCCCCCTATATGTTCATCTTCCCTTTGTAATGAATCAGCCCCAGCCCAATAGGGATACCAACAAGGATATCACACAAATAGATATTGGGCCGAGTAAAAGCAATCGGGCCAGGCCTTCACAAAGGATTATATGGGATCCAGGCCCATTTGCACTTTGTTAAAAAGGACCAGAAGTTAGAAGAAGGGTTATGCAATTATTATGTGAAGCTTTGGCTTTCTGCTCCTCTCATCACCTTTCTATGGTCGTGTATCTCATCCCCTTTCTGGTTACTTCTTTCTCAGTTTATCTCGCCTTAGTTAGTGTATTGTTACTTTGTTGTGCGTATTCTATATTGTAACTCGTATTGAGTGATTAATATATATAAAAGTGCTTTTGTTGGAATTGAGTTTGTTTCATTGGTGCTTTCATCGACGTACTCTAATGGAAGTTGTCGTTTTAGATCGATTTAATGGAAACACTGATCCAGAGGACTGGATTTCTAGGGCAGAACGATACTTCAATTTTCTGGGCTTCTCCGAAGAACACTGGTTGCCTCTTCCTTCCTTCTATTTTGATGGTGAGGCCCTTGAGTGGTTCCGTTGGATGTTTCGCAACAAACAATTTTTTGATTGGAATCATTTTAAGAAGAAGTTAGCCCTGCGTTTTTGGAAACGACCTGATGCAAAGTCTCTTGAGGTGGACGCTCAACTTACCAGAATTCTTGCTTTGCTACGGAAGCTGGAGGACAAATGTTCTCCACGGGTTCTAGTAGAAGATGACGGGATTAGTGCTGCTACAGTCCTAAGCAGAGAGATTTCTCCTCCTTTGGCCGAAGAAAACTCAAGTTGTGTTGATAATGTTGAGAGTCATCCAGAGTTGTTTGGCACTTAAATAGTTGAACATTCAAGTCATGTGGACAATCTGTTCGACGAAATGTCTACCGGAGTTTTCACCAAAGAAGTACAGGAAACTTCTTCCGCCTCCAGATTTGTAGATGATTTGGAAGATATTCAGCCACTCAAGTCTCTCAATGAATTTTTTCATAGTTGCTGCCCCAAGGTAGTCGCAGAGGTTCAACCCGAGACTCCAATTGAAATGCTTGATGATGAGTCACCAGGCCCTGAACGCAGCGAAGTCCAACTGTTCGATGAATGTTTCCAAAGAGATATATCAAAGAGGTACATTAGTGCGACTTATATTGATCATGAAAAATCTAGAGATGAATTCAATGTTCACAATATTTTGAGTCGATTTTCATTGAATGCTCGTGTGAATTCCTTTGTTGTCTCTGTGAATGGAACTACAAAGAATCATAGTGTATGGGATCCGGGAATACGTTTCAATTCCCTGGCTCCAACAGGTTATACAGATACAATGTACGAGGATCCGTTAAAGTTGTTGGGATCTACTGACAAGTTTTGCTTCATTTCATATGTTAATTCTACAACTCAGGTTTGGGATCCTGGTCAAAATTTGCGTATGAATTCCTACATTGTGGAAATAATTGAAAATAAAATGGTTGACATAGAGATTAATGGAATATCACTGACAACAATTGAAGGTGATAATGTTGATTCACAAAAGGAAGGATCACAATCTTCTCATGATGGCTTGCACTCAACTACAAGTACCTCTACATTGGTACCCACAGAAGACTGGAAAGACCTTGTTAGTTGTTGGGCTCTCCCAAGGAGGACTATTAATATGGTCATGAGCAGCAAGGGTCAAACAGAGATTAGTGATAAGTCTTATATGCGACCTCTGCAGAAGTCAATAGGACAGCGAAATACAAAGCTTTGCTTTCTACTATTGACATCGACATATTATGAGTTGCTTGAACCTTACATGGACACTCTATTTGAATTGACCACTGAGGGATCAGACGAAGATGAGAATGTTATCGCTCTTCTAGCAATTGAGCTTTGGAGTAAAGTCCCTAAACTAGATGGTCTGCAATGCTGCGAAAGGAATAGAAGTTTTCGATGGATAAATCACTTGCATCTTGGTCTTAAAACACAAATGTTCTCACTGGAGGAAGACAAGTTGATTGTTACTCTCTGTATCATTTTTGAACAGAGACGGGGTCAAATTGCAACACAGTTAACAGAAACATCACAAGATCGACTGGTGAGTTTCTTTTTACCTGCTCCGACAGTACCAATACATAATTTTGGCCTCTTAGTGGATGGGTATGTTATGTTGGAGTTAAGATGCACTACTAGTGGAATAGTAGGTGTGGTAATGCGTGGAAAAATAACATATTTCTTTGGAGAGAGAGATG